AAGCAAAATGCTATGAAAAGCTCAGATTTTCTGAGAAAGCGTGACATGCTAGAGCAAAACAGGCACTATTTTTGGAATCAGCACCTCAAAATTAGTAAGGAAAAAGGATTGGATTTCATTCAGCAAATATGATGCAGGGTGGTGTAGAATTATATTTAATAGGAAAGGAGTGTTTGAGCTTCAAAAAGAAAGGAAAAGCACATTATAAAATGTGTAAATTCTATTTTGCATAGGTAAGTCTATAACTAATAAAGATTGGTTAGTTAACTCCAGTGTGTGTTTGTCAGCTCTCAACTCAGCGAGATTATGCCTCAATACAAACCTGTCTTTCTGGATGGTTGGCAGCCGATGGCCATAGACATGCATGGACAGCCCATCGAGGACCCCATAGAGTCCCAACACAAACATGAAGCCCTTATGCAGACTCAACAGGTATAAAACCTCTCACTCACTGATATAAACACAGCCACAATACAAACACACCTTCAGTTCCTTCCTTTCTCTTTGCACAGGTCATTGATCAAGCACGACTAACTGTATACCAGGAACACGACGGGTTAGTATTGACCAGTCAGCTGTGTGTGTGTGTGTGTGTGTGTGCGTGCGCGATGGCTTTGTGATGCCATTTTGTTTCATTCTGAGTGTGTGATTTTGGTTTAGGATGGAAGACTCCCTGCCTCCTCATGAAGAAAGGCTGTACCGTTGCAGTTATGACTTTGTGGCAAGAAACAGTAGTGAACTCTCAGTATTACATGGAGAAACTCTGGAGGTATTTTGCATAGACATACACACAAGCACGGTTTCCCTTTCCATTTGGATTTATATTTTGTACTTATTTTACACGTACACTACTATTCAAAATGTGGGTTCAGTAAGATTTTTTTTAAAAAATGAAATGTTTCTTGAGCAACAAATCCTATAAAATGTAAAGTACTGTTGTTGTTATTAAGTATTTTATTTATAAAAAGCTGCTTTCCTTGTCTTTTACCCTTATTTTGTCTCTCTGTGTCTCTTATCCCCTCTGTCTTAGGTGTTAGAGTCATCAAAGCGGTGGTGGAAATGTAAGAATGAATACGGCCAAATTGGTTTTGTTCCACATAATATCCTCGAGCCAATCAATCACGCAGAAGTTGACTCTTCCAACGTAGTAATGCGCAACCAGTCCATGGTAAAGGCATCATGCGCTCACATATGTAATCAGTAACAAACCCGCATGCTAATTCACAAACTAATTCCTATCATATTTTCATAGAAAGCTCCTATTCCTCCCCCGGGAGGAAGCAGAGTCTCCTGTGTTCTGCCCCGTTCCACAGGCAAAAATGCTTTCCACCCTGATCCACGCCCTCACAGTATGCCACCAATTGGAGACAACGGAGATAAAGGTATTGTTTCTTACAACATTATTTGTAAATTAGTCACTTCTAACTATTTAATAAATGCCTTTTATTCAAAGTATGATTACAAAGACAATGCTTCTGGAGTAAAAGTCAAATACCTAAAAGTTATGGAGGATGGTGAAGTCATTATTTATCGGTATTGTATGCAAGCAAATAAACGGCTTAGTGTCCTTCTGAAAATGATTTTGTATTTTATTCATAAACATCTGACTGATTTTTCTCCAGTATTAGTATTTGACTCTTTGGAATACTTGATTTTGATTGGTCAATTGTAACATTCTTCAGTCAAATATGTTTGTATAATATCCACTAAACTGTATGTTTGACCATGTGTGCAAATGTTTTTTAACAATATGCTAGTTTCATGTAGCATTCTGTGGATTATTTTTTCTTCACATAACTAAATTATTATCTTAATTATTAATTATTCTCTTAATATTAATTACATTCAAATATTAGTATTTATTATATAGTAAGCAGTAATAAATATTGATTTTAAATAATAGGTATTATTTATATGTATGCATTTATTCATTTGGTAAATGGTTGTTTTAAGACTCATCTGATCAGTATCATAAAATAAACCTTTTCAGAATTATACTAGTTTTATTTTAGTATTTTATATATATATATATATATACTATTATAGTTTTTATTACAGCTTTTATTTGTATATTTTCATTCTATTATATTTTTTAGTAATGAAAGTATAATTATTTAAAAGTATAATTATAATTATATATATAATTTAATAAAATTTATTTTATTGATTTTTGTGTGATTTTTATAAGGTTTTTGCTTTTTTTATTTAATTTTAATTTAGGTTTAATTTATTTTTATTTATTTAGATTTAGTAATTGTAGCGCTTCAACGTAAACTTATTTCAGTTAGTTGCCAAGACAACATTTCTAATTAGTTTTTATTAATATTTTAATTTAGCTTTTCTTATTAGATTTTCATTTTTTATTCAAAGAAATTTGTTAAGAGTTTTTGTCATTTTATCAGTTTTTGTTTTTAAATTATTTATATATAGCTTTAATTAATTGTTATTTCTGTTTTAAATTTGGATTTTTAGTAACTTCAACTTAAACATATTTATTGCAGTTAGGTGCCAAGGCAACAGTGTTGTAAGTTTAAGTTTTTCATCTAATGTATATATTTATTTTAATTACCAAAAACTATATTTCATAATTTCAGTGAAAAATAAGAACACAGAATGATATTAGACCCCTCTGGGATTTTTTTTTATAATGACCGACTGACTGTACATTATCCCTCATATGTGACCCTGGAGCACAAAACCATTCATAAGTAACACTGGTATATTTGTAGCAATAGCCAACAATACATTGGGTCAAAATTATCAATTTTTCTTTTATGCCAAAAAATCATTAGGATATTAAGTAAAGATCATGTTCCATGAAGATATTTTGTAAATGTCCTACTGTAAATATATCAACTTAATTTTTGATTAGCAATATGCATTGCTAAGAACTTTATTTGGACAACTTTAAAGGTGATTTTCTCAATATTTTGATTTTTTGCACTCTCAGATTCCAGATTTTCAAATAGTTGTATCTCAGCCAAATATTGTCCTATCCTAACAAACCATACATCAATGGAAAGCTTATTCAGCTTTCAGATTTTGTATAAATTAAAAAAAAAATTTGACCCTTATGACTGGTGTTGTGGTCCAGGGTCACATATATCATATCAGAGAATGCCCTAAATGTCCACTTTTAAAATGCATATTTTATTTGATTTCTTATTTATTTGTGTTAACAGTATTTTTGATGAATGATGAGCTCTTGCAACGATTGGCCAATGGTAAATCAGCATCGATACGCCCAGTGGTAATTAACAAAGCAAATGAGACAACCGCACCGCTGGACTATCACTCCCCTCCAGCTGAGGTTCAGGGGTGGCTCAGGGCCAAAGGCTTCAATGATTAGTGAGTAAAATACACACATCACGATCTGGAGCTGAAACTGATGTAAGACCTTTGCTCATGTTGTAATCTCTATCTGTGTCTCAGCACTGTACAGGGTCTGGGTGTCCTAACGGGAGCTCAGCTCTTCTCTCTGAATAAGGAGGAGCTGCGTGCTGTTTGTCCAGAAGAGGGAACCAGAGTCTACAGCCAGATCATGGTGCAGAAAGCACTGCTGGAGGTAAATCACTCACTCCCAGACACATTCTCACAAAATACCTCTCATGCCTTCTCATTTTCCCCTCTGGCAGTTTCAGGTGTCAGACCTCAATTAATAGAAAAGGGCTCTTCTGCCAGTCAGCTTCGACTGGGGATAGTAACTGTGAATTTTAATGATGAGGTCTGAGACCACATTAAAAATATATTGGGAAAAATGTAAAAAGTTCTCTCTCTCTCTCTCTCTCTTTAATTTAAGATTAGAATTAAACAGTTTTATGATTTTGAAAAATCTAAATATATATATATATAAAAAAGCATTATGACTTAAAATGAAGAACTTTTCATTTCAATTAAATCTTTATCTAGGTCATTCAAGCAAAAGCATTTTAAAATGCTGCATCGATATGTCAATAGATACATAATTAAAATATAGTGAAATAGAAGCACTTTCACTAACAGTATAAAAGTCATGTGTCAGAACACTTCAAAGTTGATTTGTCTCAGTGAATGTTTGAGGTGACTGAAATCAGTGGAACAAAAACAGGAGGGAGATTAGCAGAAATAAATGATGATTGTCTTCATATCTGTCTTCTCGTCACTCTGTTTCAGGATGAGCGGAAGGCCACTGAGTTGGAGGCCATAATGAAGAAACAGAAGATGAAAGTTGATCTGAAAGCAGAGGGTGGAGAATTTTAATGGATATCACTTTCACTCACACATTCAGACAAGCATTTATGCTAAGGCTTTAACAGACAGGTGTGGCATGAATTAAGATATTTTTAACCATAATGATCTTTGTTGGTTTTGTGTAATTGATAATACATATATTTCATCATTACCACTCATCATATAGAAATCAAACCTGTACATTCCTTTATGTATTGTATTTTAACTATAAATAAAATTAATTAAAATACTGACGGTATTCATATTTTAATGGTATTCATATTTTATTAATCATATTCATTTTTTCTTAAATGTACCCCATAATGCAACTGCTCACAACCTGACCTTTCTATTGTTAGTTTGATGAACTGAAATTGATTTTATTCTCTTTTTAATTTATTGCTTGATTATACTACAAGTTCAGGGCATTTTAACCAAAAAATGAAAATGATAACTGGACATGACTTGAAATAAATGTAAAATGTATTGAGGTCAAGTGGCAGATACCACACTGTATAAAAATTAAAAGTTTGAAAACATAAAAAAAAAAAAAAGCCCCCTTAGGAAGTCAAAGCAAGAAGAGATGCACTTAGGCTATAAAAAGGCAGACATATTATTTTTACATAAAAGTAAAAGAACGTGTATTTCGACATGTATTTCTACAGTGTTTTAAACATTTCAGTATCAACAAAAGTTAGATTGCAGGTTTTTACAATTCTGTTTTTGGTGAACGGGTTCAAAAGAATCGAATCACTGCGGTATGAATCAAAATCCCTTCCAAGAAAGCAAAGCACTAGTTAGTTAGCAGTACGGCTGGTGACGCCATTGACAACCACGCTCGCTCAGTGGTTTGTTTCGGGGTTTCTTCTTAGAAGAGCTGAGCTCTCCATCATATGTTAATATTGCGTTTAGATCCGTGTATCACTCAGGTATCACTCCACTTAGACGGTAACAATCAGTGAAAGGACTGAAAGACAGGAAGATAAAACCCATGAACGGCACGGACACCATTAATAAATGAAGACAACGAGAAACCACCTTACCGTTTTCTTAAGAAAGCAAAAACTCAATCGTCACTTGAAATGAGTTATTTAGCTATTTTACTTCACTAAAAAAAGTAAATGTTGTCGACACATTCGCAATTCACCTCCAAAATGATGTTTTCTGCACGCGAGAATCGGTGTCATCGCTTTCAGGCCAACATCTTCAATAAAAGTAAATGTCAGAACTGCTTCAAACCCGTGGATTCGCACAAACTCAGCGAAGCAGATCTGTTTCAGGTGAGGATAATTTCTCAACTTGTAAATTTTTCAAGTTACCTTGACTTTTTATTTTATTTTATTTTATTTATTTATTTAGTAGATATCTTTCTCTGTCTCAGACTAAGCCTCTTCAGGTGGGCTGGCTCCTCCTGGCCCCAGAGGACACTGACTTCAGCATTTGTGGCCTCAGGAAACGGGTGATGACACTGGCATTTTCCAGAGATTCTTTCCATCAGATACACGCCGTTGATATGTAACTATGTTTCAACCCTAGCCTTGATCTTTCTTTGCCATCTCTGTTATAGAAATGGCAGAGGAGATATTTTGTGCTTTACGAGCATGGGCTTCTAAGATACTCTCTGGATGAGATGGTGAGGTTTTACCTGTTCTTCATGCAGTGTTTCCTAACCTTTTTTGTCTTATGTACCTGACTATCCCAAGCTTAAGTATCCCCATCATTGACACCAGACCAGAAATGTGTTGATTTTGACTCTTTTCATAATGATTTCCATTTAGCATTATCATTAATAGAGTACTTTTGAAGACTAACTTCCAGTCTGGCCTACAAAAATACGTCTTCACCTTGGTTTCATTGACAAAAAACCCAATAAGATTTTCCATTGACTTTTGGATCGTCCATCAAAAATATATGATTATTAAAATCTTTACCTTCTCTGTGCAATGACAGAGTGACTGTTTTCCATCTAGCCAGGTACATTGCCCCAAGGAAGTGTAAATATGTCCCAGTGCTGTGAGGTTCTAGACGCTTCATCTCAAACTGGCTTCCAGAACTGTCTGAGGTTGTGCTTCACTGACAGAGACTACTACATCCGAACAGAGAGCACAGACAGCTTCAGCATCAGTAGGTAATACGCTCACTGACCTGTGGTGTGAACTTGGCCACACATAACACCTATTTTGTCATTAGTTGTTTTTTATCCCAATTGATATACAATCATATGTTGTGATGTAATGGAACTAAAGAGGTGAAGTCAAGTTGATCAATTTCTTGTTTTGTGCCAAAATCTCAGCTCTGTTCACTAGTTCAGCTGAAATCTTCTCTTTCTCTCTGTCTGCAGTCTCATCCCTCTGTTTCTACTTAAGTGTTATAAGTCACTAAATCTCAGCAAGGTTGATCTAATCCCTTGAGAGCTTAATAAAAGGTGTCAAGGAGTCTTAGATTAGTGTGTGTTTGTGCTTCTGTCTGTGTTGAGAACACCAGCTTTAGAACTGTAGAAACCTCTTTTGGGATTGTTCAGAGTTGTTCTTTTATTGCTTGTAATTCTCTGTTTCCTTGCAACTGGAGGTTTTTAGTCTTGAAGCGTGATGTCCAGAAAGCAGAAGTAAGAGAAATCTGAAAGCTTGTTTGAGTTTGCATATGCGTGCAATTTCCCGCCTGGGTCATTTTTGGGGTCTGCCGTGTGTTTGAATTTAAGGTTGTTTGTTTCATTTAGGTGGCAAGAAAATCTGATTGTTTACCCCAAAGCTGCTAAATCAAATCAGAAGAAGAAGGGGAAGGATCCAGCCCACCCACCGCAAGTGAGTCTCATTCATATTTAATGCTATTTCATACAATCATGTTCTGTGACAGGCAATGCCAGTATCCTGTCTAATATCTTTCCAGCATATTTCCTTTGGTAAAATATGAATAAATGGAACATTTAATGTAGTATCCCTTGTAAAAATTAATATATATAAAATAGATTTATTTCATACTAAGTATAGTTCAAATCTATTAACGTATATGTACTAACATATCACTTGAGACTTACTGATATATAAATTGTAGTTAAACTTAATTTGGAGTACTACTTGTGCACAATGCACATTTAATATTAAGCCTAAAATGTTTTTTAATGTCACTATTGATGAGGATTGTATGATCTTTGAGTAATATCAATATATCATATATAATCGAGTCTTTAAATGCAAGATATTTAAAGTGTACCTGACATATACTTGCAATAGTTCCACTTTAGCACAATCAAATATACTTCAGTATATCTTTAGTTGGACTTCAGCACAACTTCCACACAATTAAAGTGCATTAAGCACAAAATTAGTTGTTCCAATTTAGCAGACTTTAAGTATAGCAGTTTAGTATACCAAATGTTCAATTGCAGGGAACATAAGCACATAAATATGCAATTGTATTTGTAGTATACTTAGCATGAAATAAATGCATTTCAAATGCATTTTAGTATATTTATTCTTCACTAGGGAAATATGACAGTAATGATGTTTCGGTGATACTGAAGTAGAATACTGAGATTTTTGTATTTATTTATTTTTTAACCATTGTATATCTTTAGTTGGACTTCAGCACAACTTCCACACAATTAAAGTGCATTAAGCACAAAATTAGTTGTTCCAATTTAGCAGACTTTAAGTATAGCAGTTTAGTATACCAAATGTTCAATTGCAGGGAACATAAGCACATAAATATGCAATTGTATTTGTAGTATACTTAGCATGAAATTAATGTATTTGAAATACTTTTTAGTATATTTATTTTTATCTAGGGATTCCTGTGGATGTTCAGTTTTTTTCCTCCGCGGTTTATCCCAGAATTATATTTTACCGCAAAAGATTTAGAATCAAAAGATTTGTCTAATTTCCAGTTTGCACATTTTTTGTCTTCTGATTTGTCTGTTTAATTTGTGATCTGCAAGGTTTAGATGCACTAAACATATAGCAAGTTTTAGTACTATTGTTCAGCGTTAAGTGGATTAGATGTCCAGATTTGGAGATCACTATCTCAGAACACACTTAGAATACCATATGATCTTATATTAGATATTATCTAATTGATTTATATATAGAAATAATCAAATAAATGATTTGTTACAGATTAGTAGACTTAAATAAGTGCAAAAAGGCTAGTTAGTTTGTTTTTAGATGGTCACAGTAATGTTGAAAGAACAATGCTGTTTTAGAGTACTGCTCCTTTAAATGTGCTCCTCCTCCACCCCTGTTCTTTACTTTAATTACATTTCTAAGTGCTGTGCCCATCTTTCTGTCCGGTTGATTTACTAATCCCTCTCTATCTCCCTTCTGCATATGCTTTCTGCTGACAGCAGAGCAAATTAATCTAGTGTGTGAAAGTGCCATTCCACTGTGCTGCAACAATTAACGGCATGTACATGAAATGCTGTGTTCCTGTATTTTGTGTGTTTGTTTTTGTGTATTTTGAAGTGTTAGTCAGATAGAAGTTTAATAGAATTAACTTAAGTGATCTGGACAGGATTATTGAGCATCCCCCCTGGGGAGGGTGAAGAGTTTGCAAAGTGGGAGCAGAGTGCAAAAGACATGTGTGCTTGTTTGTCAGGCAGGTTGTATATAGAAAGAGAGGCTTTTCCTATACCACCCGTGCCAATTGGATTTCGCTGGCCGAGCGCTTGTGTGCAGCCTGTCAATCTCTGATTTACTCGCCTATATTCTCTGCCTCTCTCTTCCTCTCTCAGCAGACAGCAGAAAACCAAACCTCCAGCAGCAGCAGCAGTAGTAGCAGTGGTGGTGCTGCTGCTAAGAAAAGTAGCACTTCTGGAAATAGTTTCACCAGCAGCATTAAAAGACAAGGCAGCATCGGTTCTAGTAATAATAGCGGCGCTAGAGTGTCCGTCAGCGACAATGCTGGCACTAGTACCAGCGGTGCCACTAAAGGCAGTAGCAGAAGTAGCATCAGTAGTACTAAAGGGGCCACCAAAAATGAAAGAAGAGGTAGCGTGGTGAGCGCGTTGGAGGAGGAGCTGGAGGAGGAGTCACTCAGTGGTGAAGTCGGGGTTCCTTCCAGCACTGGTAATGCTTCATCACTCGATACCAAGCTTGGGTCCTCTCTCTCTTCATCGCTCAGTCAGTCCTCGGGCTGCTCTGACACAGACGGTATGACCTCAAACTGGCCTTTGTGTGTGGACTTGTGACTCTAACTGGATGTACTTGTTTATGGTTGTAGTAGTTACTGATTTGTCAGCTTAGGAAATAAAGGTAGGTAGTAGCTAAGAATATTGTTAGTTTTTCTAGTAAAGAATTCGGAGTTGTTTGTATGAAAATGTAAGTTCTGTCTTCATTCTAAACCTGTGAAACATGTGATCAGTTCGTTCTTTTGAGTGATATTTTTTTTTAACGAATCTGTCGATCAGGTTTACAAAACCAGCTCTAATGATTCTTTTATAAATTTGACATCTGATGACTTCTGTTTGAAGGACAACGAGGGCAGATTTTAATCTGTTTCTCACCCAAAGCTTTATTCATACATAACTTTTACAATACTTTTATGTTATTTATAAAACGTAAAGGCTCCATTATTCATTTACTGGAGTTGCATGGACCTTAGTCAGGGTAGCGCCATATACAAATTTGGAAAACTTTAAAAGTTCGTTATGGCATCTGCTCATTAGGTTTTGTTTCCATGGAAGAAAGTCATAAGAGGTAAAGAGTAAATGATGACAGAACTTCATTTTTGTGTGAAATGTCAAACAATGTTTACATTTATGCTAATTTTTGCACATTACACTTTTTACTAGGCATGACAAATATATATTACTGCTTAAGTCCCCCCTCCCCCCAGGTTCAGCCCATTACTTTGCTTTGATTTGCTCTCTCAGGTACTAAGAATCGATTGGGCACTGAAAGCGGCTATTCGTCTCTGGAGAAGACAAGTCCAAGTGTTGTGGATGCACAAGCAAACACTGACCCCAGGTGTGACCGTGTTTCTGTTTCTTCACCTGCCGCACATCTGTGTATGTTTCCTACCTCAATGTCCCTTGGCCCCTCCCCCTTCCCTCCACCAACTAATCACAATTCACAGGGGGCATGTGGGGTTGATCCTGAAGATGTGGTGGGTTTCTCTTGGGAGAGAAGTTTGGAGTCCAGTGGGGAGAGGCAGTCACACACATCCATGACACACACACTTAGGCATGAATCACCCAGCCCAAGAAGAAAAGTACACCGGCTGTTTGGAAATCGGCACAGGTAAGACGGGTTAATTTTGCTTCTGATTCCCTTTTACACCAATTGTACGGAGTTGGTTTTTATGTGTAATGTTTGTGGCTCCCTCTAGTGTTCATCATGTTTTTGCCATTCCTTCGACAGCATGTCAAAAGCACTCTTCTCTGCTTGTCTTTCAGGAGACTTCATCCCATCTCCATCAGTCAAATCAAACCGGGCTGCTTGCATTCCCATTTGCCATTTTCGTCCAAATATATTCACGTTATGTTTGTCAAAATTATAATGTCTTTAAATGTTAAAATGATTGGCAGCACTGCATTGATGCTCCTCAAACAAATGTTTGCAGTTTGTTTAAACAGTTTTGTAGATCATTTCAGTTTTAGGTGTTCTGTGTGTTTTCTGTATATATCTTTATGAAACCAGTATAATGTGTGCATACTGAATTCCAAATGGCCTGCATTGCATATTACCCTCTGTTTCAGTCTTACCCTTTCCTGTTTCTGTTTTTTTTTATATATTTACATTCAGAACTTTAGATTTTTTGAGGTTTTGTAGAGCTCAAAGTTGAATCTAAAACTGATAGACACTGTCTTTTATATGTTTGCATGCTTGTTTCTAGGAGATCTCAGGGAGCTGTTCATCAAGAGGGTTCATTTCTGGATACCGAGCTTCCCCCCTCAACCTTCACTACTTCCTCTACTGAACAAAATGACCATAAGACAACTGTCAGTACATCTCAGGATTCCTTCCCTAATGATATTCCTGATCACTCAAAACATTTGATGTCATGTAGTCTCCGCTCCAAATCGCTGGAGCGCAGACCGCTTGATTCCACGCCCACAGTAAGTACAGTACAACCAATACAAATAAGAATGATTCTAATGTGTATTTTTATTATGGCTGTAAATTGATTATACATTTAAATCCAATAAATTGGGATGTGGCGTCAAATTTATCAAATTAATCACAATTGATCATTCATATCACATATGTCATTGCTACAGTAATGCCCTTTTCCTCTCAGCCTGACCTCCTTAATTTCAAAAAGGGATGGATGTCTAGACTGGGAGAAGATGGAAAGGTGATTTTGAGATTTGAGTGCATGATCTCCATCTACTTGTTCATGATTTTTTCTGTGTGAAGTGGTCTGATGTTCTCTGTCTCTAGTGGCGGAAACACTGGTTTGTTCTTACTGACCAGACTTTGAGATTCTATCGTGACTCTGCAGCAGAAGAGGTAAAGTGATTTGTGATGTTCAGTCTATAAAGAATCATCTTAAAAATTTATTTGCCATTTTCAGTTAAGAGGTCTTTCTGTGTTTTGTGTCTTAGGCAGCTGATGTGGATGGTGAGATCAACTTGTCTACTTGCTATGATGTTACAGATTTCCCTGTACAAAGGAACTATGGCTTTCAGATTCATGTGAGTGTATATTAGCTAAACTTTAAGCTTATGTATTTGTCTGTTGAATTGCCTTTATTCATCACTCTTTTCATACAGACAAAGAATGGAGTCTTCACCCTCTGTGCAATGACTTATGGGATACGACGCAACTGGGTCCAGGCAGTAATGAAAAACATTCATCCCACCGTTGCCCCTGATGTCACATGGTACAACATCAAAACTAGCTGCCATTCCCAAAAATATATTTATCCACTACGCATATTTCATACATACAAAGCCTAATACATTTATTGCTGTATTTTTCTCACAAAACAGCATCACATGTTAGTGGGTTGACTCTTTCACTCTGCTTTTTATCTTTTTCCCTATGCTGTACAAGGAAAAATCCTGCTATAAAACCCAGGTTTGAATGTGTTTTCATGACCATGAGTGTTTCTTTTAATTTAAATGGAGTGTCTGGTAAAACGCACACAACTACAATATCAGAAATATAATTTAAATAACTTAATCATAGCCACTTCTGTTCTTCCCTTAGTTCAATTCCTCAAAAGGTGCCAATGACTAGTGCACATGCTCGTACAAGCTCCTGCCAATGCAGTACAGTTCCCCAGGAGGCAGAGCAAAGGAGTCGCATCCGTGAGCGCCGTAGAGAGGGGCGTTACAAAACCTTTGATTGGGCAGAATTAAGTTGTAAACAGCACAAAGAGGAGTGGTCAAATGATCCATCCGGAAAGCACTGGAACCACAACAGTGAGCGCTCGGTGCCTCCTGCACCTGCATCATCTCCTGAAGAGCAGATAACACGTTCGGCCTCTGAGGCATCAGAGAATGAATATCTTCAGAAAAAAATAATCTCACAGAGGCAAAGCTTAAATATCTTGTCAGCTGATATACCATCGAACTTATCACTTATGGCAGTGTCCAGTCGCACCTCCCCAGAATCAATCAGCCCAGACAGCTTAGAGGTTGATGCAGGAACCGTATATGTCCACTGTGATGGCCGTGGTGAACTACAGGAAGCTAAACCCAAAGAAGAAAAGCAGGTAGCGTAACACGCAAATATTGTTGTGGTGTTCCAATGTCTACATACTTCATTCAAATGCACTATTTACATATAATTTGTCAGGGTTGTAAACAAAGTCTCACAATTCATTACAGGTTGATCGCTCCACATCTCCATTGCCAGTCGCCTTCTCTTCATCTTCAGCGCAGACAGAATGGCAGTGGGATGTGGAGCTTCAGAGCCTGCGTAGAGAATTGAAGGCTGAGCACGAGAGGAATCAGACTCAAGAAAGGGAGTTAAGACTCAGTGAGGCCCAACTCCAAGCTGAGTTTAATGACAGCAAGGAATGTCTTCAGAGGACAGAGTTAAAGATTCAAGAGGCAGAAACTCTTCTGAAGGAGCGTGAGGAGGTGCTGGAGAGTCTGCGTGGACGGTTGGAGGAGGTAACGGGTCGTCTTAAAGCAACCGAAGAGGCGCAAGCCTTGAAAGAGGTCAGGCTACAGAGGCACCTGCGCCTCCTGCAAGAGAGCCAGGAACGAGAAAGGAGGAGCTTCAGTGACAGCCTTGACCAATCAGAACAGCGATCGAAGGAACTGGAGGAGCGTCTGAGGCAGAAAGAGGCTGAGCTGCAGAAAAGCCCAACAGGGGACGTTACTGATGAACTTCTGCGAAGGTGCCAGGAGCTACAAAACCAGCTGGAAGAGTCAGACAGTGAGGTATGTCGTCTGCAGGCACGCCTCCAAACCGAAGAGACTCTTTATTATGACATGGAGCATGATTATGAAAGAGCTTGTGAGGAGATACAGAGTTTGCGAGGTACTCTGCTGGACCACGAGAGGGTAAGTGAGGAGCGCTTTCAAACCCAGCTGGTGCAGCAACAACAAGAGTTAGACAGGAAGGAACGAGAACTACAGGAAGTGCTTCTTAAGATGGCCATCCTGGGCAGTAGTTTAGAGGAGACCGAACAAAGGCTCAAGGAAGCTCAAACCCATTCTTCTGAAGCTAATGTTCTCTGTGAGGCATTGATTGAGCCACAACAATGCAGACAGAAAGGGCAGAGTGATTCGGAAATGCAACCTACTACTCATGGAGACGAGTCACATAGAGTGATCTCCGTGATCCAGGCACTAGAGTGCAAGTTATGTGACACCGAAGAGCGACTCCGGGAGCTTACCATGCATCTTCAGCAACTGCAACAACTCAACACTGGACCGCATGCACTCAATGATTCTTGGTGCTCGCACAGTTCCCTCCAGAATCCGGAGGGTCGACTCTCTGTGGATGCTTTACCAAGTTTTACTGAAGCTTTGCATAGCCTGCAGAGAACAGCTTTAGACAGAACATCAGACAAAGCTAAAATCTCCCTTTATGATGATGGAAAACCTGGAAGCTGGAGGTTGGTTGGCGAGAGTTCAGGGAGAAATCAAGCTCTAGAGATGGCCAGCAGAGTTTTGTCACTGGAGGCACTGATTATCCAAAGGACTGCCTCTGCACTTGAGCATCCCAGCTCAAAGTTGCTTAATAAATTGTCAGAGGTGCATGTCCAGGTGCTTAGGATGGCTCAAGGAGGCAGTCATAATGGGGCTGTAGAACCTAGTTACTCCCAGATCTTCTTGGACCCTCTTGAGCAAGATCTGGTAGACAGTACGCTGAGTGAAAGTGCAATCCATAGACTGTGTGTAAGAGCAGAGATGACATACCTCATATATACTCTCTGTACTCATCCCTCACAGGAGCAAAAGGGATCTGAGCTTTTTTATGTCTTGCCTTGGCCAGAGAGTTCCTCATCTGGAACCAAAATGGAAAACTGTTCAAAGCAGGGGTCCAGACTTGCTGACATTAGCCCGCCAGAACTTGCACCTTACAGTGAACAAATGGATGACGAACTGGCAACCGATCTTCTCCTTGAGGGCTCCGAGGTACAGCTTGCTTGCAGAAAGAGTCTGGTGGCAGAGCTCCGTGCTCAGACCCAGTCACTGCAGAACCTCTCAACACAGCTACAGTCTAATGTTAGAGAGGTCGACCTTCCTGGTGAACTACCCTCAGCCATCCTGAGGGCTGCAATTTGTCAAGCCACTTTGGCATACATGGCCTGTCGTCTTCGTTCGGCCCTGCAGCAAGAGATGAGTGCCCTACGCAAACAGAGAGAGCAGGCTGAGTGTGAGTGTCATGCCGTGTGTCGTAGCATGGAGACTCTTTTCCAGGAACAGACGGAGCGTTACGAAGAGAAGCTGCGCGAGGAGCGTGTTGTTGTCGAAAAGGCAGAGCAGGAGTGTGTTTCGGCGGAGACCAATGCTCAATTGAGGATGGAAGAAGCCGAAAAATTGCATTTGGAGTTTGAGGAGAAGCTCCAAGAGCTCCAGAAAATCCATGAAGAGGAGATGAGCCGTCTCCACGAATATTACATTCAAAACTTGTCAAGGCCAAAAGCTGCAACTCTCCCAGAACTAGAGGAGAATGAAGAGACTGAGCAGGTGACTGCTCTGCAAGACCGAATCAGAGAGCTTGAGACAGAGGTGACTTGTTTGAGGGCAGATCTTAGTAACCAGAATGCCAAAGCCTTCCAGCTTGACCTGGAAACCATCAAGGTATGCACAGTCTTCTTGTTACAGCGTGAGATTAACATGTAATTATACACAAAGATGAAGGTACGCCATGTCTTTGTGTGTCTTAGGCCACGTATGAGCATGGTTTCAGCATTATGGAAGACAGCCACCAGCGAGTGATTGAGGAGATGCAGAGGCAGCATCAGAAAGAGGTGGAGAGACTGACAGAGGAGCGAGAAAGAGTACTGCAGGAAGAGACGAATGCCACCATTGCAGGTGCTACTCTCAACACAAGCTCCCATTCACAAGACCATGCAAATACTTTTCATTGTAAATCTTTACAATGTACACTACTGATCTTTTGCAATGCTGTGAAAGTGAATAGGAAACAGTGAGAGCTGTGGTCACTATTAACTGTTATTGTGAGAAAAAGAGCAGCTTGGACATTCTGCCAAGTAACTACTTATGAGTTCCTCGTAAGAATTCAAATAGATTTGTAAGTCATGAGGTTGAGAAAATTATGACAATTTTAATTTTTTGAGTGAACTGTCCCTTCAAGCACTCATACAGTACATGGGTTTTGTTCCAAATCTGTGCTACTCTCTTGTATTTAACTATGGATAAAAGCATATGCTAAATGAATAAATGTAAATTTGTTCTCTGCATGCTTAGACATACAAATGATGATCTAGCATCTCTGCTTCTTGGTCTTGATAGTTCTGTCTGACCAGTTTTTAATATTATTTGTTGTTTTCCAGCCATTGAGGCTATGAGGAAAGCTCATAAAGAGGAAATGGACAAGACACAGAAAGCCCTGCAAAATGGAGCCAATGTGGACATCCGCCAGCTTCGTGCACAATACAAGTGCGTGTGATATGTCTTGTCAAAAATCAATTTATGGTTGCAGAACTATATATTAACCATATACCTCTTTGTGCATTTTCTGCAGTGAGGAGCTGGAAACATTGCACAGGGAGCTGGAAGTGTTGTCAGAGCAGTATTCTCAGAGATGCCTGGAAAATACACATTTGAATCGGACTGTAGAAACAGAAAGGGAAGCATTGAGTACAACACAGAGAGAGAACCAGGAACTTCGCATTCACAACCAGGTACGTGCACACAAAAATGTGCATATTCACACAGCCAATGCTTTACTGCTTATCTTACATATGTATCACATATTTTTCTAAGGAATTAAATGAGTGTTTGGCTGCTGAATTATCCCTGATGCATTCACGCATGAATGGGGAGGTGAAACATTCCCAATCTTCTCAGGAGAAAGACGTGTATCAGCTGGAGGTAAAACTTGACACCCTTTCATATGGCAAAGTGCCCAAATTTGACGCGTACTACTAAAATTAGCAGGGGATAGTTGACTGAACCCAGATTAAAGTTACCTGCACTCAGTTGAGTACATTTAATCAGCTTCCACAAAAGAAGCCTTCATGGGTTTTATTACTACTCAGATGAGATTATGTCAGAGGTATATTCCATCAAAGGTGCTATAAAGTATACATGTGTAAAAACAGATGTGCTCTGTCTCATTCTTTGATGCTGTAGGTAAATCTCAGAGTAAAGGAATCGGAGATTAAGTGTCTGAAACAGGAGATCAACTCACTTAAACTGGAACTGCAGGCAGGAAATACGGTAACACCTTTTCAATTAAAACATATTAATAGTTGAATATTGAGTAATTTTGTAGTCAATTAATCCAAAAAGATGTAATTATTATTATAAAAAATTATAAATGTGACAAATTTGTGTAAGTTACATTGTTTTATTCACAAATGTTAACCATAACCGTTTCCAAAAAAGCTAATTCAACCAATGCTTACATAGAGAATTCACTCCCACTTCAAAGTTAAGTTTTTGTCACGAGTTTTTCTGTATTTCTATTTAAAATGTTATTTTTTAGTATTTTAAAGAGCTAGACTCGGAGTTGATTGCTTCAGAAGTCAAAACTCAAAGTGACTTCACTAAACTGAGGATGGTGCCAGCAAGACAACAGAGTTTAAAATATGGTAAGCAAATCTACAATAACAGTCAAGTTACTGCGAAGGCAAACAGATTAAGTGCATAAGCATGCACTTATTCAGAATTTGTAAATGCCTGTTGCAGATCTGATGAAATCCAGGAGCAACCTGGACTTCCCAAAGGACCATGCTACACTTACACAACCTGTCAGAACCAAGGTGGGATCATCTGTGCCATTACATGGTACAAAATACTGACGTTCCCTAAAATTTAAGCTTTCTCACTATCTCTCATTTTATTCTCAGAGTCTTAAAGATGGACTCACTGTTCTGGAGAGGATGAAGCTTTTTGAATTAACCAGCACGCAAAAGATTGGAGTGTGTCTGTGTGATAGATAGAGAGAAAGAAAGATAAGCATTTTAATGTCTTATGTGGGTTAAATTATTTAAATGTATATCTTTATAACACAATGAATTCTAACTATACCTTTAGTCACAGGTGAGTGAGTGAGTGAGTGTGTGTGTGTGTGTGTGTGTGTACGTCAGTCATTTTAATTGTTGTTTCGTCACTACTTTAGACAGTAGAATTCATTTTTGATATGACATTGTCTCTCTAAATCTTAAACCGTCTTTGTTTATATTTACATGTTTTATGCCTGATTGAGCATAAGTTCGATTTGCTTCATCTCTAATTATGAATAAAGTCAAGCTTTTACAATCTTTAAGTTTTTGTTTGTGTAACTTTTCAACCCATACGTGCAGATTTTAAATACTGCATACTGGATTAGCAATTTTATCACTATTCATCCCTTGTCAAAAAATCCTAAAGGATTCCAATAAGAAAATTGTACAGAATTCTAATTAGAATTTCTATCATATTTTGGAACCATTCCTATACGATTCCTATCTAGGACTTCCTGTACAAAGGATTTTGTTCTTATCCTGTTCATTTTCTTTGCAGTAGCTTGTTTGCTGAGACAATGTTCATTAAAGGGAATGATTTAATTAGGATGCCAGTGGATCCCAGGAAAAAAAAAATATATATAAGAATCTCATTGAAATGTTTCCAAATTATAATAAAAATTATAATTAGAACAATATTCTTAATGGAATCCTTTAGGATTTTTTGATAAGGCAGATTATTTTTAATCTTAAAGGTATCTGATAAACAGTTCTAAACTGTAAATGACACTGTATCTTCCTTTACCAAGCTTTTCCTGACTTTTTTCACAGCACTTATAAAAACTCATTTATTTAGTATGTAACTTAAAAGTGCTACTTCGCATTTGCTTCTTACTAAAATCAACGTGATGTCACTTGGCTACTACAAATCTCTGTAGTGCCCTTTTAACCACTAGATGTCGTGCTTCGTCTGGAGACCAGCCGGCCAGCCTCAGTACAAAGTTGCCAGTGCAAAAAATCTTTACCTGCTTCTTTTCTGCTTAATGTTAATAATGAGATGCCACTATTTATATTTTCGGAGATTTAAGGAGTCCTGTTTGACCCAGGTATTTAATACGTTTCATTATGTGCTACTGAGTCTGCAAAAGCGTCGAAAGCATTTGGCCAAAAAACTAATTAACCGATAGCATCTGAACATGAGGACGGGTAGCTCTGTTTCCCTCATTTAAGACGGACTCCATATCGTTTCACATCCTTTATGAGTCTTGAAATGTTTTGCTAGCTTAAACGTCTCAGTAAAGCTGTTTTTTCATGTCTGGGGTCTGTGTATAAGCTACAGAGAGGGAGAGGGGAGCGCGGCAGGTGTGTTTGCTTGCTAATTAAATTTCTGACGGCTTCTTTGTCAGTAATTACTTATGAGTAATGCATGTTGCTTTGAAACGATGATCTCTTCATTATGTTAAATTTTCAAAACACTGATTAATTTTAAAAATGACAATCCCCTAATTCTCTCTCTTCTCTCTCTAACCAAAAGTGTGTGTACGAGTGTCCATCCTGTTCAGCTCGTTTCAGAGCATTTGTGTTACCTTGGAAACATATTTACATATGCAGCTCTCAGCTCCTCCACCTGAACCATGTTTACATCGTTTTACAGGAAGGGTAAGAGAAGTCCTGTTTTTATAACAGGTAAATTGATATCTTGGGGGGAAAAAAAACTTGTCAAGTACTGACTTCTACTAATCTCACTGACGGAATCGTCCCATGAGGCCATGTTAGGAATGCAAAGCTTACCTTTGATGTTCTGTGCATTTTGTTTGAGTAACTTTTATTTCATGTCTGTCAACTCTTTTTAGTCTGGCCAGATGTTAGAGCAAAGGGGAAAAAAAGGAGGTTCTTCTCAGCATAGAGAAGTCCGCACTCTTGTAGTAGTTATAAGTGGAACATTTTCTTCTTTCTGTCTGGCTCTTAGAAAACTTACGTATGCATATTACAAATATACCTTTTAAACTGTAGACAATGAATATATAATGCAATAGTGGGTTGGTTATGTAATATCGCAGGGTATATAAATAAGTAGACCAAAATATCTTCAGCCAGCCAGCATGAGAAAACCCGTTTAATAAACATGCTATCAGTTGGTTCTCACTAGGGAGCCAAAGCATGAGTTAAAATTATTTAAGTTCTATTACAATAATCTAAATTAAATGCTAAGTGCTAATAAATAGAAATACGATATTTTAAAAATGTTATTTAAAAAAAAAAGTTTTATTATTATTACTTTTATTATAAACTTTTTTTCCCTCCAAAGACTACACAGTTCTTGAAACTTATGGAGTAATTAATTCATATATTGACATTCCAAGTTTGTTAATAAACAAAACATTTTGGAAAACAAGCATATTTAGAGCATTTTATCGTATTTAGAGCAAAATATACCAGTGGAAATATTATAGCCTAATCTATATGAGGTCTCTATTATGAAAGGAAAAATAAGCGTGTGTTTTGTGTTTGTGCTGTCTGCAAAGCAAAGAGGGAGGGTCATGAAATGGAGAATTTGGTTTCTGTATCAGTAGCATGTCAGTAAACGTCACACAACACGCATATACACACACACAGTACAGGAATCACATAATTTAATACTTCATAATTTAAGAATTCATGCAGTTGAAGGTGAGATTTGATACAGATCACTGGTTGTAAAATGCACCGTTTTCCTGGAACTCAGTGGTGTATATATCCTAATGCTTTCACACTCTCTTTCATCCAGCTACACAAAGTGACATAACTTCTCAGGTTTAATACTTTTCCTGTTTAATTTTAGAATGTAAATCCCCTGATTGTGCAGTTCTGATTGTTTAAGGTGCACTTCTGGATTCTATTGCTGAGAAGAAATCTTGTCTGCGTCATAGTGTGCTCTTTTTCTGTGATGTGCATGTTGATCGTTTTGTCTTTCCAAAAGTCTTGGGCTCAATATCAAAACTTAATGTTCACATTAAGTAGTTTTAAAACAATAATGTCAAACCATGAGTACTTGGAACTAGATTTGAAATCCCTACATTGTTGCCATTTTCATGGATTACGTAAGGAGTGCTCAAGTAGACGTGTAAATGCTGAATCCGCGGTTCCATGTTCCCCTCCTGGTTTGTTATATTTGGCATTAATTACCAGCCTTCTCAGAAGGCAAATGTACATGATCTCTTTGACCTTTGTATGTGACAAGTATTCTCAAAGCTTTTAGGCTTGAACCTATAGGGCACACATGCTTCTGGTTCCCATAGTTATAATGTACTAACAGAGAGACGGCAATTAGAGATATTCCCTGGGGTGGAACACAAAGCACAGACGTTGACCGGTGATACTGGGGCGTGTGGACTTCCTCTCCCTCCCACTGGCCATAGGAACAGAGTATGTAGCCTATACTGGATGTTCCCTTAATTAAGTCTTTAAAATTGCAATCCATAATTCTTATGTTGTTTAAAGATCAAATGTTGATTGTCAATTGGCATTTGCTTTGTATTGAATGGAATTTTTAATTTACATTATTATTCAACTGCATTTATTGTTAATTAATGGAACATTGTTGCACAATAAATGTGTGTAATTTTAAGGTGCGTGGTGGTGCAACAGTGGAACACCAGAGAAACAAATCTATAGATAGGCCTATACGTCCAGTAATTATAGGAAGACTGTTTCCGTGGTTACATTTGTCACCATGGTTTTGTATTATCATGATTCTCTTCCGATGACAGACAGCAGGATACCCATAGCTCAATAGCAAGATTTGTTATAAAACAGCATTTGAATATTTTACAATTGTAAAGTCATATATGATCTTCACCTATTGCTCAAATTGGGTTTCACTCTTCTTTCTTTCTTAGTAATTTTTGTGCTTAAATACAGTTGAATATTAGAGTGTCGAGATATCAATCATTGAATACTCACACTTCACTCCCTCGCATTACAATGACATTTGTTTCATGCTAGATTACACAGCTTCTGACAGAAAATGATTCATCTATATGTGTTTTGTACTTAAACTGTTTGATCAGTTTTTTCCTTAGTTGTACCCTCATGCCATGCCAGTGTTTAATTTTTTTCCTAATTCTGAAATTTAATTACTTCATGCAGCTGGAGGTGAGATTTGATGCTTTATGGTTATACATTGCACACCTGGAAATCACTGCTGCAAATATCTTCAAATCTCCTTCACTCTAACATACATCTGCACAAAGTTACACATCTCCACTCAGGTTTATTACTTATTTCTGTTCAATATTAGAATGTAAATCCTGCAGGTAGTTCTGATTCGGTAAGGTACACTTCTGGATCCTATTGCTGAGAAGAACATTTTTATTGCGTTTCAGATTTTGTCTTTATTTGTATCACTACTTTTTCCCCTCTCTGCTGCAAAAGCCAGATCTTGTCGTAGGTGGGTTTATATGGTATCTGGTCCAAGCTGATCATTAATGGTTTTTAACTCACTCAAAAGCTGCTTGGTTGATCGGCTTGTGTTGGGAAAACCTGCTGGTCTTGGTTATAACATGTTGTCAAGCTGGTTAGAGCTGGTTTACCTCTCTAGACCAGCAAAAAACCGCTAGCATAATCCAAAAATCAGCTTGAGCACCTTAAACTGGTATGACCTGGTTTTTCCTGCAGGGCTAAGCTCATTTGCTGTAAAGTACCTCACTGTTTTATATCTATCTTGCTGCCTTTTCTGAAGAGCTGAAATCACCATGAGCTGACTCACTTTCACCCTCAGAAACCCAGCTGAAGAGGTTATGAGGACGTGACCTGAAAACAGCCATGTGGCTGCATAAAATGGTGTGAATAATGACTCCATTTTCCTTTCATAACCAGGCGCACTTTTAAAAACAATAAACTGTGCGACTGTGGGTTATATGATGGTTTCATGACGTAGTTTAGTGTGGTACTGTATTTTTGGAGAGGATGATGTCGAGAGGATCATCTCTTTTTTTCCCCTCTTCTCTGCGAAAGAGGATGACTTTGGCTATAATCTACCTTGATGAAACGTTTAATTTATTTAAATCATCTTATATAATGCCTTCTTTATTTAATCGGGCACATTTATTTGCCCCCACAGAGCAAAGTGATGGATGAGGTGAGTGGGTGAACGCTCTCTCCTTTGTTCCTTCTTTGTCTCTGGCTCTCGTTCTCACCTCTCCCATTCACTTTGCTCTGATTTTAAAAAGGAGGGAGATTGTCATGATCACTAATTATCACGTAAGATACCAGAGGTGGGTGGTTGGTGTTGGTCTGTTGTTAGTTGCATGTTGAAATTCATTTCTAAATGCTCTTAGGTTAGTTTCATAGTAAAAAAAAAAAAAAAACTACTTTCATTTCAATTAAATGGACTTGTCGTATTGTGCTGAACGTTTCAAATTTAGTTTTCAGCTGTGTGAAAACATTGCATGGCTGATTGCTTATAAGAGTTATTTATCTCATTAAATTTAGGCTTAAAGAAAAAAATATATACTACAGAGGTGATCATAAAAATAAACGTATTTAAATATATTCATAATGTTAAGCAATTTTACTTTTCAAGTCAAATTATATTGTTTTTCTTTACAAGGTGAAAATACTGATGAAAATGTTTTTTGTTTTTTTTTGCAGTGTGCCCTTAATCCAATACTGACTTTTCATTCTTTAACATCTACCATAGAAGTAGCTTTTAGTATTGATCATTTCCTTTCACATTCGCAAGTGGGCAGCTGTTTTGATACTGAGGAAAGAAACACCAATAAAGAAAGGTCAAACTGAAGTTCATACCTTATAAAACACACACACACTAGCACAATGTAACTTGCTTTAGCAAAAGATGTAATGTTGTAAATATCTGGTTTTAGAGGTTCAAAATTTGGCTACAACACAAAGAAATCCATAAGTTATGGGTTTAATATGGCACTTGAGCAACATGAAACTGTTGTTTTTCCTCTGGCTGTCATTGTAAGTATACAAGCGGTTTTATTCAAGGGTGTCTGGCCTGAGCCTGAATGGTGGTTTGTTGTGAAAAAAAAAAAAGTTTAACTGTATCCCATCATGCCTTATCTTTCACTCATCCACTCACAAACTCATACAGTATATATTTTCTACTCACTTTCTAATACTGAATAAATAGCTTTGTGTCTTTGCTATTTGCTAGCCTGGGAACCATTTTGCTCATTTCCAGTTAGCGGTAAATCAGCCTCTGTGTAGGTGTTAATTATCTTTCACACACCTCTAAAGTAGTACCTCATTACACGGTAAAAATAAAGCTATCAGACATTGCAGTCTTTGCTCTGACGTAAAGGGAAAAAAATGGATAAATATCTTCAAGTCTCTTTATTGCTGTAAATCACACCAAAACAAGAGTGTATCATGTTCTACTCTATATCCAAGCAAACACACTAGTGGTTGACAACCTATTATGTGCAAATTCTGTTAACAAGAGAGAGATTTAGTCAATATGGCACCCAGGCTAGCTTAGTATTGCATAATGATACTACTTAAAGCTATCACTTCAAACTACAGTATGAAACAGATAATCAGATTTCAAGTTTTCCTACAGGAAGGCCTCGCATTTCCAACAACTACAAAAGCATTTTCTTTTCCTGACCTGCCCCCAACTACAGCATGGCTCTAGGACAGTGGGTCAAGGTTTCATATGGCACTTGCATGGCTCTGTAGCTAACCGTTACGACACTAGAAGAATAGGCTGAGTCTACGATAAAGCAAAGTCTTTAAGGTGACAATCAAGGGTCATATTTCGGATTCTTTGTGATATGACCTCTGATCGAAGTTCAGATTGGCTGAAAGGGTCTCTAGCTCAGTCCCCCTCTCACCCCTGTCCTCCTCTTGCTCCTCTTCATCCCTACTAATGAAGGCTAACTCGTTCTCATAGCAGAAGTTGGCGGCGGACTCCAAGGACTTGTTCTCCTCCATGTCTTTGGCGCTGCAACTTGGCGTGGAGGGAACCTCATAGGTCTTATGAAAGTGGGAATAGTCCACCTTATACTGGTTGCGTTCCTCAAACACCACGGGCTCAAAGCGATGGCCCCATAAGATCTCGCTGGCCAGGTAGGAGCTGCGCACCTGAGCCGTCATCGCAGTCGCCTCGACCATCCCTTCCAGTATGACCACAATCTCAAAATCAGATGTCTCCAGGTCCTGCTTGCTGATTCCATACAGAGGACTCTCCTCGTTTATCTCGTGGAGGATGGTGAGAGGAGCAACCAAGAAGATGCGGTCGAGACCTTGGTCGTAACCCACATTGATGTCGATCTGATCGAGCGGTATGTACTCGCCCTCTTCTGTGATTCGGGGCTTAATAAGCTGCGCCCGCACATGAGCCTCTACGATGTGACTTTTCCTCAAGTTCCCGACCCGCCACATGAGGCACAGCTTCCCGTCTCGCATTGCTATGACAGCATTGTGTGAGAACAGTATCGTTTCTGCTCGTTTCTTAGGTCGCGCCATTTTGGCCATGATGGCACCGATCATGAAAGAGTCAATGATGCAGCCCACGATGGACTGGAGGACGACCATGAACACCGCTAAGGGACACTCCTCGGTTACGCAGCGGAATCCATAGCCAATCGTTGTTTGCGTCTCAACTGAGAACAGAAACGCCGCAACAAAGCTGTTGACCTGCATGACACATGGTGTGAAGTCATCATTAGTGGGCCGGTCTAAGTCACCGTGGACAAGAGCAATAAGCCAGAAGGCGAAACCAAACGCGAGCCAGGACAGGACAAATGCAAGGGAGAAAAGAACAAACATCCAGCGCCAACGAATGTCCACGCAGGTGGTGAAGATGTCAGCGAGGTAGCGCTGAGATTGCTCGTCCATGTGAGCGAAACTGATGTTGCACTGACCTGTCTTGTTTACGAAGCGGCTCCATGCCTTCCGGCGCGTCTGGATCTTGCCGTTACCAAAGCCATTGCCGAGGGCAGGCATGTTGCCGTGCCGGTACACGTCCTCCTCCGACGATGACACAATGTTGTAGTGGTGGGGCTTGCCCACACTCATGCCACTCTGCCCGACCAGAACCAATCCGTAAGTGAGAGAGAGTACCAAAGCAGCTCTGGATCAGTTTGCGTTGCCTGAAGATGAAGCAAAACATAAGATCAGTCATGCAGTCTTCATTGTATATCGTTTGTCATATGGTTATGCTCATATGGTTACAACTCCCTTACAGAATCTTTAAAAAAAAAATAATAATAAATGGTCACACTTTATTTAAATGTCCAATTCTAGCTATTAACAAACCATTAACTACGACTTTTGCCTCAATAAACTCCTAATATGCTGCTTATTAATAGTAAGGTAGTTGTTAAGTTTAGTTATTGAGTAGGATGAGGGATGTAGAATATGGTCATGCAGAATATGTGCTTTATAAACAGCCAATGTGTTAATAATAGGCATGCTAATAAGCAACTAGTTAACAGTGAGAATTGGTCCCTATACTAAAATGTTACCAAATAAATTGGATAAAATCTTATCCCTCTTATTTGGTAGTGCCCTAAAAGGGTTGCATAACACATATTTAAGTAAATTCCACAGATAAAATGCATTTACAGAAATTAAAAGATGCTTAAAAAATGTTTAAAAGTTTCTTAATATTTTGTTTAATAACCTTTTATTAAAATTAATATTTTTATTCAATACACACACATTTTATCGATCAAAAGTGACAGTAAAGTTATTTACAAAAGATTTCTGAAGCATCATGTGACACTGAAGACTGAAGTAATGGCTGATGAAAATTCAGCTTTGCCATCTAAAGAATAAATGACAATTTAAAATATATTAAATAGGAAAGCTTTTTTAACTTGTAAAAATATTTGTTTATGTTTTTACAGTCATTTGATCAAATAAATGCAACCTTAGTGAGCATAAGAGACTTTACCAAAACATTTTAAAAATCCACATTCTGCAAGGTGTATGTAAAATTTTGAGGACAACTAAGTAATTAAATCAAATCTAAAACTAAAACTAAAAGCCATGGGAGGTGGTTAGAGGTGTTCTTTGGGAAGACGCAAAGCCTCCTTGGTAAAATCACTGTAACACAGGGTCTCAGATGGCTTAATGCTTTTAGAAAATGGCAGTATGATGAAAAATTGTAACAAATATCAGGATCTATTAATAATAATTAAAAGAAACAACCACTTTAACCCTTGTGCGACCTTTTGGACATGTTTGTCCTTTTCAGTTTTGTTTTTTTGATCATTTTGCCTGTGTTATTGCCAACTGCATAAATTTTGGTACAGGTGTGTATTTTTATTGGAATTTTACTATTTCACTTCCATTTCCTTTAATAAATCTGTTTTGCACTAGGTACAAAAAATTGTTCCTCTCAGGACCTTAAGGACAAAAATGTCCCCATTGAAACCCATTAAAACTGCTATTTTTAATCGCAGTGCCATTTAACTGTAAAATTATGCAATTTTTGTTGATAGGCTTTCATTATATTGGCAAGGCTTTAAAATTTAATTTTTTACTATTTTTTACCAGATGGTGCCATTTTTTCAGGTTTGACCTATAAAGAGAATACTCACTTTATTTCTGTTTTCTGCTTCTGCATATTATAGAGCCAGTTGGATGTAATTTAGTTGATTGCTCTAACTGTAGATTGTTTATGGTATCCTAACATCTTGGCACATTAATATAAAACATGCGGTTACAGAAGTCAGTGTCTGCATTTTTTTATCTTTGACCCAATCAGAATTTAGAGTTCATATCATAAATATATTTCTAGTATTTAAACATTGAAAGTCAATAAAAGGGAAACCTAAGTGATGCAGGCCAAAATAGTCCCAAAATAAATCTTCTGAATTCTCACTGCAGCTAAAAACGTGTTACTCCATTGCGTGAGTGTGTGCAAAAGTGCTACTCTGTAAGTGTGAGTGAGGAAAGAGCAGATGTGCAGATCCGTCGTCTGTTTTTTTTTCACATCAGATGTAGCTAATTAAAGCACTTTTGCTGCGAAACTCCGCACCTTTGCGCAGTGCTGAAGTGCACACACCTCATAGCCCAAGAGGAGCTGTACTGCGGGCCTTATTGTTATGGTTATCATGATTATCATTATCCGAATTTTCTCACTGCACTTTTTTTTGACAGAGCTCTGAGCCGGGAGCTGCCGGTGGGGTCCAGATTTAGGCGTCTAGCCAGTGCCTGTGTCAAGTGATCTGTCTTTCTATTAATAGATGCCTGTCTCAGTGCGCCTACTGCACGCACACACACTTGCAAGAATCTGCGCTCCAAGACATACTGTACTGACAGAGAGACATCAAAACACACAAACTTCACATGCACACACACACTCTCTCACACACTGGGGGCTGGGTAGTGTCAGGTGCTGCTTTATTGGTGAGTGCAAATAGCTAAGAAGCTGCAGATTCAACGAGAGTGATAATGAGAAAAACATATAATTTTCTTCATGCATACCCATGATTGCAGAAAAATGCAGCACAGTTCTACAATACTCTAAACCAGGGGTTCTCAAACCTCTCTATGAAGTACCCCCAGCACTGCACGTTTTGTATGTTTCCCTATATCTGACACACCCACTTCAGGTACTAAAAGAATCACATGAAAAACTGGAATATAGAGGTTTCCATGGAAACCTGTCTGGTAGAAATTGTGTAAGTGTGTGTGTTTGTTTGAGGGGTGACTGTCGGCTTCATGCGGTGGTATTTTAGTCATCATCCAGGTGGCCAATCACTCCAAATTGAGAGAAGAGAAGAGAGGGAGACAGTTGAGCACTTAATACGTTTTTCCATGATAGCCGTGAGAATACAAAGTAGATTTCCAGTGGAGGAGAGACAGTGGGGTCGGTATCTTCACTACGTCCTGATGTGATGTCAGCTAATTCCAATCTAAATGTCAGCAGATCCAATGACCACTTAGTGGTTCGATAGCAGCACTATGATGAGTAAAGATAAACTAATCCATGTTCTGTGATAGCTAAAGGTGAAAACTAACTAACTCTCTGTCCTCAGTATTTCTGCTATATTTAGCTCCTATTTTGTCAATTTTTCTTTTCTATTTGCTCATTTTAATGACACTTGAGTTTTCGAGACCCACTGAATTTCTTGAGATTTCCAGTAGCTCTGACATGTAATGAAATTAAATTACATGTATAAAATTTCCAAATGTAATTTTAAATCTAAAATATATTAAAATTAAATTCTATCTATATCATATTTCTATTTTATCTTGTGTGTGTGTATATATAGATATATATAATTTGTATGTAGATTTATTTGACATACAATTATGAATAAAACATTTATTAATTTATAATATTTGATCTATTTGCTATTTATTTTATGCACTAAGCATTTTGCGCTAAAACAAAAATTTCTAAATTATCTCTGCTCTGAACCCTCAAATGTGCACTGAACATTTTGCACTAAAATAATGCCATAAATTGGGTTCCTTTGCACCAATAAAAATCTTAATTGTGAAAAGGTTTTGTACTTTGTTGCATTCAGAAAGAATTGTGTGTAAAGATGTTTTCTGATATACAGCAGATAATCTGACGTAAATACCTGTGCCCTATGGCAGTGGTCGATGGAAACTTCATCTCAAGAGAACATTCTGTTTCCTTTTTGCTTTTCATGCACACTTAGAACCAAAAGGGACAGCTGTCATTTTAATCCTCGAACGTAATTAACGTATTCTACCCATCCCACAGCTCCTCCAGTCCCGAATTGGCAAATATGATGAGGAATTAAAGTGATGACAGATTGTAAGAACTTTGACAGTCAGTTGACAGACGTCAGATATTACTCCACCAAACATTTCCACAGCCCCTGAAGAGCTGCATCAGTCTCCTTTAATAAACTTTATGAACTTCGACTCGTATCACCCTCGCCATATGCGCAGTGCTGAAATGGAGTTGCGTCTAGTGACTTTTTTGCCAGTCTGGTTTTCAAAAACCAGAACGTTTGCATGATTTGATTTGTTTTGGCATGCTATATCCATCCAAACAGGTGCCTGTGTGTTGAACGTACAGCCTTTACACAATCAGGAATTGGATTACGCTGACCGTATCTATGTTTAGACTTCATTTGAATTTATATTTCCATTGAAATGCATGCATGCTTTTTCTCATAGAGCTTTATAATCAATGAAGAGCTCAATATGTGCAGACATTCCAGCATTCAGGGGACATCCGTCATTTTGGGAATGCTGTCTTGGGTGTGACAGTCCCCTCATTGATTTGATGACACAGTGGAAAGTACAGAATATGCAATGATGATCACCATCACCTACTCATTATGACTCTATTCAAGTGAGGCACATTAAAGGCACCAGAACGCTCGCAGACATCAAAAAACGCCTACAGGTTGCAGAAAATACCTGTAGACTGTCCATGTGAGTGAAACAGAGCTGACAGAAGCTGAAAGAATACATACACATTCTGCTTACCTTTTTTCTTCCCTTCGCATGCATGGAAATATATAAGAAAGAAATCTGAAGTTGAGCTAAAGCATGATTCCATTGAGTTCCTCACAGTTCCCCTACAGGAAAAATCACCGTTTTAAAGAAAAAAAGGGATCCTGACTGTCCAGCGAGGTCCTCATCTTTAGCGTCACATACACAGATGGAAACTCGCACACATGTACGCATGTATTCGAAGGAGGTTCTTATCTAAAGGCTGCAGATTATAAGCTAACAGCCTCAGGATGTTCCGTTAACGTTCTCTAGCGTTGATTCCGACGGTTCAGTAATCTTCCTTGGTCATCCCTGAGGGTCTGGCATGTCCAGTGATTCCCTAATGTTTCGGTGCGACACCTCGCCAATGATTCTCTCTTTGAATGTTTAAAACACTGCTCTCTCTCTCTCTCTCTCTCCTTTTTTCTCTCTCTCACCCTTGTCTGCTATCTGATCTTTGCTGCAGTTTTTCACACTCTCTCGCTCTCTCGTTTGCTCCCTCTCTCTCTCTGAAGTTGGCATTTGCAGGGACCATGGTCTCACCGATGCTACCTCAAACACAGAGCTCTTGAAAAGCAGCCTGGTGTTCATGCTCAAACCCAAAATAAGGACATTTTACTGCCCTCTACGTTGGCTGAATACATTACAGACTGACAAATGACAAAAAAAAATCCTTTGTGTTTGAGGGTTTTGTGTGGTTTCTGTTAGTTGGGAAAATGGATTCGTGTGCACTGTTTTTCATAGTGTTGTATAAGGTTAGTGTGTGTGTGTGTGTGAGAACATGCTCTCAGATGAATAATCATTTTAAAGAGGCTAGCTCTTTGGTTTGGGTTGCACACGCAAGGATGGTGACAGAACCAGGACATTTGCCTCTACAAATAAACGCAAACGAACACACGAATACGCTCATCTGTCATGCCTGGTCATGCTGGCTAATTAATCCGACTCCTTCCTGTGTGTATGTGGCTTTATAAGTGTCTATGTGAAAGATTCCGCAAACTACTGCCAGATAGATAGATAGATAGACAGACAGACAGACAGACAGATAGAGCCATGTGTTGACCTCTCATCTTAAACATACTAAGGCTCTCTGGCTGTGATGTCAGCTTGGGTTGCAGTGGCTTGTGCTGATACTGTTTCATGTTTTGCGTTGGTTGCTATGTTTGGAACTGTTCTACAAGGACTGCTATTGATCTGTTATTGAGCTAGGATTTGACTGAAGTTTACTGTAAACAACAAACCGTCCAAATGAACCTGTGTGGAGTAATGAATGGAATGTAAAGAAATTACTTTAAGGCATGCTTTACTATACTTTACAATACAATATACAATGCTGTTCAAACATTTGTGGTTGATAAGATGTTTTTGGAAGAAGTTGCTTATGCTCACTAAGGCTGCATTTGTTTGATCGAAAACACAGGTAAAACTGTAATGTTGTGAAATAGTATTACAATTTAAAAGAAGCATTTTCTATTTTTTATATATTTTTTTGTTTGATTTATTCCTGTGATGGCAAATCTGAATTTTCAGCAGTTATTACTAAAGTCTTCAGTGTCACATGATCCTTCAGAAAACATTTTAATATGCTGATTTGCTGCTCAAGAAATAATTTCTTATTATTATCAATGTTGTTTGCTGCTTGATATTTTTGTGGAAACCATGATACCCTACATTTTTTTCAGGATTCTTTAATGAATAGAAAGTTTTAAGTTTAAAAAAGTTTTAAGTTTTAAAAAAAGAGCATTTATTATATATATATATTTTTTAACATTACAAATGTCTTTACTGTTACTTTTGATCAATTAAATGCATCCTTGTTAAATAAAATTGCTTTCCATAAAAAAATCCAAACATTTGAATGGCATAGTGTATGTCTTGAGAAATAAATTATTCCCAAAAATAGTGCAACTAATTTAAATTTTAAAAAAAATATTAGGAATATTATTTGTGAAGAAAAAATATTTTAGATTTGACTGTGATTTAACCAGCCTGTGTTCTGTGACATCATACTATTTTTTACATGCTGCCTAATTGTGTACCATTATTAGCATAGCACCTCCTAATTATTCCTGTACATTTAATTGAATACTGATAATTATAACGAAGTTAAAGGGGTCATAGGATGCTACATGCACATTTACAAGTTGTTTGAACTGAAGTGTGTGTTGGCAGTGTGTGTGCACAACCACCCTATAATGATAAAAATCCACCCAGTGTTTTTT